CAGCACTACCCCTAGGCAGCTTTACACAGAGGGTGTGTCTGTACCAGCTTCTTCTCCTACGCAGGGGACACGCCAAGGCACAGGAGATTGAACCGCATACTAGCCATTCGAGAGTGGACAAACCTGCCTTGTAATTGGCTGATACATAACCAAATCCTTGCCTTGGCGTGTCCACGCAACGACCGTCACCCAAAGCCGACGGTCTGTGCTTACTACCATTACGTGAAGACCCCGAGATTTCTGATCAGCTATGGCACTTCGAATGAGACTCACGTGATGATGCCTGATATCTTTAGGTACGTTCTTTTCCCCGCCTATCGAGCGTTTTTTTCCCGCCACTTGGATTGGCCAGTCCATTTGCGTTGAACCGACGACTTCCATTAGGACAAAAGAAGTTAACCACAGCACACTCGATTCCTTATGCTTTGTCTTTTTCTGAGCGAGCTTCTTGAACACCTGACACAGTAACACAGACTGCAAAGGAATTAGACAGGGTGGAAAGAGAAGAGAAACAGGTAGACAAAGAGACAGAGACAGACAGACAAACAGAGACAGATGGAGACGGACAGAGACGAACACAGACGAACACATACAGACGGAGGCACACAAACAGAGAGGGACAGACAGAGACAAACAAACAGAGAGGCAGACAGAGACAAACAAACAGAGAGGCAGACAGAGACAAACAAACAGAGAGGCAAACAGAGACAGACAAGCAGAGACAGACAGACGGAGACAGGCAGGCAGAGACAGACAGACCATCAGAGACAAACAGAGAGAGAGATAAAGACGGAGACAGGTAGAGACAAGACAGAGACGAGGCAAAGGAGGCCGACAAACAGAGAGAGACAGACAGAGAGACAAATAGAGAGGCAAACAGAGACAGACATGCAGAGACAGACAAACAGAGACAGACAGAGACAGACAGAGGCAAACAGAGACAAACAGAGGGACAGATAAAGACGGAGACAGACAGAGACAAACAGAGACAAACAGAGAGACAGATAAAGACGGAGACAGACAGAGACAAGACAGAGACAAGGCGAGAACAAGACGGAGACAAGACGGAAACAAGACGGAAACAAGACGGAAACAAGACGGAAACAAGACGGAGACAAAACGGAGATAGACAGATACAAACGGAGAGAAAGAGCGAGAGAGAGAGGCAGAGAGATGGGTCTCGAAAAGATTATTAAACAGAGGGAGAGCAAGAGCTGCGAATGACAGAGATGGATACAGAGAAAGAGAGAGAAAAAGAAGCCTCACCACAACGCACATAGATCAAACCTCGGTGTATCATAAGACATAGAACTCCATGAAACATGACACGGCAGGGCAAGAAAAGGGAGAGCAGAGCCAGCGGCTTCACTAAGTGGCTTAGGCACGCAAGTAGCATTCAGGAGGCCGTGGGTTCAGTCCCCACTGACCGCCAGGGGCACGCTTGGTGCCAAGCAACTGAGATAGTTCGCTTGCTCCGCCTTGTCGACAATATGACTGCTGTTACTCGATGGGGCAGGGGGGAAGTAGGGTCTTTAGCCATCACGGGTGTGGGGGGGGGTTGTGTGTGTTGTATGGGAGAATGTTGGCCTTAGACACTGCTGTTACTCGATGGGGCAGGGGTGAAGTAGGGTCTTTAGCCATCACGTGCAGGGGGAAAGTAGGGTCTTCAGGCGGTCAGTAGGGTCTTTAGCCATCATGGGTCAGCAGGGATTTTAGTCCCCACGTGATGGCTGAAGCGTGCCCCAGGCGGTCAGTAGGGTCTTTAGCCATCACGGGTGTGTGGGGGTGGTATGTGCGTCGTATGGGAGAATGTTGGCCTTAGACACTACTCTTACTCGATGGGACAGGGGGGAAGTAGATGGGAGGCGCGACTTCCACAACGTGCGCACGTTCTCCGGCGCGTACGTTCCCAACGTGCGCACGTCCCCCTACGCGCGTTTCCGCTGGTTGCGCACAAGCGCTCCTCAGGGGGCTTCCGCTGACCCAAGAACCGCCCAACTATCCTTGACGAAGCAAGCCCCAAGATAGTGAAGATGAGAGAGAACCTACTGCATTGCATGTAACAAAACCTACCATCATTTTCATCCAGCGATAATACTGCGTGCACGAAGAGAGGTAAGAAGACGAAACCTTATATAGATGCAGATGTCACGAATGCGTGATGATAGAAAATGCGCTGCAACATTGCATGATATGTCAAAAGAGTTGATTACCAATTGATATCGACTCCAAGGGAGGTTGGAAGGTCAGATGATCAGGATCTCAGAGGCACGAGCGAGAGTAGCACGCAACTTACACGGACATCTGCCAAGTGCGAGAGCGGGAGGAAGGAGTGCCAATTGAGGAAACGTGTTTGCAGACTTACCCTCACAAACCCGCGTTCGCCAAGCCAAACCAGCGCACATGAACATGGAGACGGTCGCTCAGACTGAAAACTGAACGATCTTCGGAACAACACGAGGGTCGACACCGATCACCTACCGCCTCTCCTCCCTTCCCCCCTTAATTCCGGAGCACATGCGAGCTAGTCTCATCCATGACATTAGGCGGTTAAGACAGTGGAGACAGGAAGAAGAAGGCGACGCAGAGAACGACAAGACAGGAGAGAAATTTGAGAACACACGCGAGCTAGTGTCATGGCTGATACTAGGTAGTCGTGGAGAAAGTGGGGATAGATAGACGAGGGTGGAGCAGAGAACGACGAGGAAGATGAAAAAAAAGAGAGGACAGATAACACAGCGAATGGCGCCGAGCTATGACCAAGAGATGCTTTCACACACGCATTACACAGAAATAGTACATCGTTACACCTCCGCATGCCCCTGGTCTCAGTGCGCACACGTTCGCAAAGCGCGACGAGGTGGGGAACGTGGGCGGATCGTGGGCGGAAGGATCGTAGGTGGTCCCGTACGACAGAATAGGGAGAAAGAGAGGGGGAAGGGGAGGGGGAGGGGGAGGGGGAGGAGAGGAAAGAGATCAAGTTCAAGTGGGTGGACAGAGGGAGAGAGAGAACAAAAACCGGGCGTGCACCCCCTGACGACACCCGAGCGCAGCCGTTGTCGAAACGCGAGCGTGCGCGCTCTGAGACCAGGGAGACCCGGTGTACCGATTTGCCGTTTCCACCTAATGCGTGTGCGGACCCATCTTCGTCATTGCTCGCCAATTATTCTTCTCAATGTACAGAGAGAGAAAGAGAAGATACCCACTCTAGCACTTTCCTTGATGCATCTGACCGCAAAGATGGCCAGAAACGTAGAGTCCTAGCGTAGTCCGATGCCGTGATCCTCAGGCGGGACCATCATGTCGAAATTGAGCTCCTCGATGTCGCGCCAACATGAGGTCAATTATATGCCACTTTTTTATTTCGTGCGAAAAGGGAAATAATAAAAAAAACGATTGAACGAAATCAGAGAAACACGGCATAAACAAGGAGAACCGTGCCGGACATCCTGCAGACTACTACGTCGCTTGAAATTCACTTTTCACTAAACTTCCAGACCACGGAGAGTCGTTCTTTTTACTTCGATTTGCCCTCCTCATCTTCCACCATGATTGCAGCCCGCATCTTCCACCGTCTCCTCTCCTTCACTGTGTTTATTTTCTCCTTTTCTTTTCCCTGTGATTGTCCTTGACTACCTAGCAAGAACGAGTCAACGGTTCCCCACCGATGGACCGAGCCATCCGCAAGAACTACTCGATCCTGGTGGTGCTTATATCATCCCAGGACCATAAAACGTCACAAGATGTTTGTTTAAAAACAGAAAAAAACAGAGAAAAAAAGAGAATTGAGTAAACGGCAAACTGGAAACTGACGTGGATCAAGTAACACGAGAATCATGACCAGCACACAACGCACCCCCATCTTGACCGAATTTGTACCGTTGAAAAATCGCTTGTATAGATTTATGATCGGGTTACGTCGTATTCGGGGGTCGAACGGAAGGGGAGATATAGGAATGGGGGAGGAACGGGGCGCTGAGAAGAAAGAGACAGGAGACATGGGGGCGAGAGGAGAAGAAGAGGCGGGAGGAAGATCAACAAGATGGCAGAAGGTGAGCAGAGCTAAGCGGAATGTAAGGAAGAATGAAAGAAGCCAGGTTCACACGGGTGAAGAGGAACGAGACACGTATCCCCTTCCGTTCGGACAGACCACGGAAGACAGTTGGGGAAATTAACGGCAGAACTCGAGAGGGGCGATGAAGCGAGGGGAGCACGAGGACGGGAGCTGCGGGGAGGCGTAGAGTTCTCGCAGCAGCAACGAAGTCAGCAGAGGGAGCGGGGAGGCAATCTGGCTTTTAGGGTAAACAAAATTACCAAAAGGGGATCAAGACTAGGTACAATGAGACCAGTGGACTGCTATTCCCGGAAAGAAACATCGCCCATCCATGTACGCACGCACCTGCCCCATGCCTATCCATCCATCTACACGTAAGGCCTAGTTTCACCACTCGCAATTCGCCGAGATTTGAATCCAGCTGAACAAATGGGTGTCCAGATGCAATCAAATCGTGACGGATGGCGAGTGGTGCAACTAGGCCCATATAGGCGCACACACACACACACACACACACACACACACACACACACACACACACACACACACACGCACACACATGCCAATACAGACATACACACCTAAACATGCATTCGTATATATGTAGATCACATGCATTCGTATTTGTGTATATCACGTAAGCGTATATGTATATGTTGTCACAAGAATATCAGAGCGCAAAAAAGAAAAAAAAGGGAAAAAAAGAAAACAAGGAAAAAATGAATTCGTTTTTTGATCTTCTTCCTTACAACTCCCCCTGTTCAGAACCTCTTTGAGTACATACGTATATCAAGATGGCCATATGTATGTATGCATATCAACGTAAGCGAAGGGAGAATAGGATGGAAAAGGCATACGAAAGATAACGTACAGGCTTCTCTGCTGAAGATGATACCCTAAAATCATCACGTGGCGAAAAGACAGGAAGACAGGAAAAAGTACTCACCGTCGAGACGCCAGGTGCAATTTTACCCAGAAGACTCGTCAGATTCTTAGACTTCGTGTTGAGAGCCAGCGACAACTCAGAACAATCATCACAGCAGGACATATTCGAAGCCGCCTTGCACCGCGCTTGAGGCCTTGCCGGACGATGCGGGGGCAGATTTGTCAAGGGACAGAGCGCGTTTTGAGGAGGGGCTGACATTGCGACCTCACCACCCGGGTAGACTGTCGACTCGGGCGGAAGGACGGGAGACGATGCGCCGGCATCGCTGGGTGCAGACACTGGCGACGGAGAGGAGAACCCAACGGGCATATCACCTGGAACAGAAGGGCTGGCGGGCGTTGAAGGCACACCTTGAGCTGCAGAAAATGTGAAGGACTCGAGCGCCAAGACCAAGGACACCGCAAGGGTCATTCGAAAAGCGAACTTTTGGTTCGAAAAACGAGGAGAGCGCGCCCTCCATGGCACTCCCTCTCTCTCTTCATTCCCCCTGAACAGTGAGGAAGAAGTCGGCATAGTACTCCTTGCTCCCGCCATTTTCACACAGAAAACGATCACACTGAGATGAACAGAGAAGCCGTCAAGCTCACCACTTAGCCGTCCGAGCAGTCGAGGTCGAACTGTGGACCAATTTCCCGACTCGTGTTTCTGGTGTCCTTACGCGGGAGCCATGCCGATCTTCTCTATACCATCCCGACTTCCACGTATCTCCTCAGGGAGAAGCGAGAGAGCAAATCTTGAGATTCTTCTCCTGGAAAGCTAGCCAAGGGAGTAGATATGGTGATAGATCCTTCCGGTGACAGACATCGCACACACCTTCAATCACAGCGAACTACCGAAACCAAGTCGACCGAAATTGCCGCTCGACGGCTCACCTGGACGGGATGTACAAGCGGCGGCTTTTGCTCGCCGCTCCCCGCTCGTCTGTTTGTCAGGTAATCTGTGCGATCAGGTCCCGTCAGATCACGACCAAGTTAGATCAGATCCGATCAGATCATATCGAGGGCCAGCGATGGCCGAAAGCCAAAAATCGAATTGACAACCTCAAATCGCGTGGTGCCCGACCGCTGCTGGTGGCGACAAATGCCGACAAAAAGTTCATGTACCGCGAAGACTCGGGTAGCAGCTCAAAGACATTTTGAACGGCTGGAAGGAGAGGACAGCCTCAAGAACGCCGGACGGAAAACGCCGCGAAGGGGCGTCGGCGGCGCTGGCCCCGCGGGCGTTGTTCGCAGCCAGATAGGCTGCGCCTTGGGCCCCGAGACACTTGCGGAATTTCGCTTTTTCTTTCCGTTGGAACGGCATTCAGGAGGTAGTGGGCTCAATCCCCATAGCCGCCTGCGGTACCCTTGGTGCCAACCAACTAAGGGTAGTCGGTATTGGTTGTCTGCAGCCAACAAGGGTGTGGGTGTGAGTGAGTTGCGTGTGGTGTGTGGGAGAGCCGGGGCCCCACCGGCGGCCCCAAGGAAGGGCAAGGGGAAGCATACAACTGCCTCCCTTCACCGAGGTAGGTACCTCCGTTCACCAAGAGAGGTAGATAGATATGCTTGCAGCGTTCCCCTGTATAGCCTCGAGAGTAGTGGTAGGTAGGTCGCGAAAAGTAAAAGTTTGAGAGAAGAATGGTGTTTGTTTTTTTTAACCACTGATACCTTTCCCAACCATTTTTTCAGTTGCGGCGGGTAACGAGGGAGGACGGCCGGGTTCTAGGATCGAAAGGGCTGGTGGCGTCAGCCCAAATGAGGCCCATGCCAGTTCGATCTTTTTTGCCGCAGAGGGCGATTTTAGCCTCGGCATTGGTAGCTGAGAAAGGTACTAGTGATTTAAAACCACCAGTACCTCCAATCCTCTTTTTGCGGACCCTGAATTTGCTTATGCACCAATTTTTGTCGAGCCTGAGTGGGGCGGTACCATTGATATTTCATTTCGGTACCACTACAAATATATATATATATATGGCGGCAGACAGATTCACAAAAGGAGTTGAAGAAAAAATATAAAATTTTAACACTGTGATAATTGTTAGATTCATTTTCGGAAGTACCAGTGTGACTGAGCCCTGCGGAGGGTATTTGTCCCATACAAAACAGAAAAAGAAAAAAAAACATCCCCTAGGCCATGATGGTGGTCATATTCTTCCGTGCCCGCACAAAGGGCGTTTCTACCCCCGTGTGGTATACGCCCTACCTCGCTGGCAGAGCACGAAAAGGAAAAAATAAATAAATAAATAATAACCATTTTTTTGTTTTTTTAAAGCGGCTGACCAAGCATATAACAGTCTCTTCAGTAGTTGGTCATTTGATCATCCAAATGTTTTTTTATACAACCCCCCTATAAGACTCTCTTCCACCCTTACTCATCATTACCGTCCCACATACATCCTTACTCCCAATGTCCTACCTTAGTGTTTCTACCACCCAGGATCATCACCTTTATAGTGACCTGATTGGACATATGGGAATCAAGGCTAAGCAGGTCCTCACCTCCCTTCACAGCCCTGATTGAAGCGTAGTCGGACGAACCTTGTCGTATGGGTACTTTGAGCGCTAGGGGTAAATACTTTATTACAAGTCATGTAGGCGAACTTCTTTTTCCCGTTAGAGAGATGTTGACCTTATCATCATCGGATTTCGCTGGTTATTATCTTAAATTTTATGTTCTTGAACCGTTTCCTATGAAAGGTTGCTCTTACATAGAGCATCTTCAGTTTTTGTTCTCAGCAGGCTCACGACCACCATCTGCTTTCTTTATCTCTATCATTAATTGGGTCTCTGGTCATTTTCTATCGTCCCCCACAGGGTTGTCAGGCCGAAAGTACGGAGGCCCCTAAGCTGACCCCCGAACGTTCCGGCTTTCGGGTCCCCGTACGGGGCCCAAACTTGAAGGGGTTCGGAACCCGCAAAAAAATATTTTGGCACCCAAATATATATTTTTTTTTTCTGATTTGTTTTTTGTGAGTTCTTTGTGATGTAAGGTATCTCCCACTTAATTTTGAAGTCATTCTGCTCAGCCAAAACAAGATGAAAAATCATCAAAGGTGGTAGTGTCAAAACTTGTTTGCCCACTCACAAATTTGTTTTTTCTCTCTTTTGACTTTTTGTTTTTCCTTTATTTCGGGACATAAAATAATTTATTATTTTTTCAAACTTTATTTGTAGATTCTCTATTATGTAAGATACACAAATATAAATTTTCATAGCATACGTCAGAGCCAAAAAAAAAAAAAAAATCGCTAAAGATGGCGGTGCCAAAAACGTGCTCGCCCATTCAATAATTTAATTCTTATTTTATTTTTCCTAATTTTTATTATTGTCATTTATTTTTAGAATTTGATTTGTATTTCAAACTTGGTAAAAAAATTGGATATAACGTTGAGGTAAATGTTGTTTAGTTTTTTTTTTTGCATAATATATATATTTTTCATACATTTTAGAATTCTTTTTTTTTTTTTTTTTTCGCGTTCGGCCGAACGGTCGAACACGTCGAGAGGGGGTGCTGAACGTTCGGGCGTTCGACCCGTCCCGAACGCCTGCAACCCTGTTCCCCCATACTTTATTTTTTGTCATTTGAGGGTTGATGACCACTATCCGCTTTCTTACCTCTATCATCAACTATACCTACTTAGGACTATTATAATCTTATTGTGTTCTCCATGCAGGTAGCAGACCACCCTCATCCCTTTCGACAACCTTTATTGCAGATACCCCAACGGTATCCTCAGACAACTTGAAGAATTTATTCCTCCTCTACTCTTACCAATGGAACCCCTAATACACCGCCTATTGCATGTTTTCCACCGATATTCTCGAAAATTGAGTTTTGTCCTACCTACCATCCCCTCAACAGAGTCCCCGATTGAATCTCACATGTGAAGTAGAGGCCTAACCTACCATTCAAGTTCATCTTACAGTGATTGCGTCAGATACATTTTCAAAAGTATTGGTCTGACTATGCTTCATTGAGAGTACCCCGACATCATTCGTAACGCATTTTCTAGTTTTTTTTTTTTTAAGTTTTCATATCGGTGTCGAGCACGCCGGTCCCGCAGGAGGACCCTCCCAACCGCGCTATGTAGGATTTGCAAGACTTTTTCGAGATGGAATTTTCGTCGCTCCGGCCCAATGAATCAGTCGTACCTCTCGCGAACCCTTACGATAACATAGAGGCTGCGAGAGGAACAACTTACCTCTGCCCAAGTGGTTGTCACCGCCCTTGAACAGGCGTATCCCTATCGAGCTATAGAACCAATCGCAGAGGTTTCCAAGCCAAAAGCGTTTCTCGTTCGTTGTAACATATGGGATACGCGAGGTCGAACACCTTAATCAGACTCGCGTGCAAATTAACGTTCTGAGGGTTGATCTCCCGAGTGCGGCTCTACACAGGTCAACTATAACGGTCAACCTAACCACGAGACACACTTCGGAAAATAAAACCAGACTTTGTACGTAAATCACTTATAGTCTTTTTTTTCACATTCGACTCATAATCGTTTCACGACAAAAGTAAACGAGTGTTGCGCGCAAGACTTTAAATAAATATCGAGGCGACCCAGGTTTTGTCATATCGACTACCCATGCATGAATTCACAAGCAGACGCAATGATGGCGTACTATGTGGTATCCATGACCACGTGACTCTCACTGATTTTTGGGATCGCTTTCGACGTTTGTCGGTTGACACACGTCTTGAGAGGTTACTCTCTTGACGCTAGACAATTGTGAATGCGATTGTGATACCCACCCTCTTCCGCACCCTGTGCGGAGGAGTGGTAGGCGGACTTCGGCCCTTTGTAGCGGCCAAACGCCTTTGATCCTAGGGACGGGGCTCAATCTTCGGGAGGCCTTGGACAAAGTAAAGGGGTTTGACTTTGACAATCGTCATGGAACTCAACGTCCAACCATATAAATTTAACAAACAAAAATAGAAGGGATTTTTTTTTATCTCATTACAAATTCACTCAATCCTTGCGCCAAGGTAGACCGCATGGATACACAAAATATAAACATAGTAGGGTTATTAATACGAGACGATCACTCTCACGGTCACAATATGACTTTCTTCCAAATATAAAGGAAATCGCAAACAAATCAAACATTGACTTTATATCACAAAACGTACAGACAATCATACATAGATTTAACACTAACAAAGCAGACACCACACGGGGTCAACACCAACCACTCTCTGCACTCACACTCCTTGCCTCATTCACATAATCTTCATCTTTTGTCCAATCTTCAAAAAAAAAAAAAAAACTCAGTTATTTTTTAAATGATCATTTAACAAAATCGGGTAAAAACCCAAAAGAAACAGTTCAACCCATAGGGGTTAAGGCCTTAGGTTGGGTAGCGATAACAAGCTAGAGTTGAGCCGGAAGTCGACAATTCGGCAACCAACTTATTATTAATGATAATATAAAATTATCCTCGTAGAATCAGACTGAAATTTAAATCAAATTGAGCAAAGAGGACCTGTTACACAACACATGTCAGTATTTAAAGCGATGCTTAATTGAATGAAGGATAAACCTCATTTCGCATCTCACTCAACTTCTCACATGACTAAGTTTAACTTATCCTTAAATAGTATCAGAGATTATAAAAAAAATTGGTAGCATTTCCGATATATAGGGTGAATCGTCAAAGTTTTTTTTGCGAAATATAATACAACTCTTCAAAACTATAAAAAATCCGACAACACTCCTCTCAGAGAAAGTGTTTTTCCATAATTTATATTATGCCAAATATAAATCTCGAATAAAATTTCGACTTTGAACAATCAAAATTTTGTTTACCTGTTTGGATTAGTAAAAAATCAAATAACACTTCTCATAAAGAAATAGGTTTCCCCGATTTATACTAAGTTAAATATGATCTGAAAACAAATGTTTAAGTTTTGCAAAGGCTAATTTTAACTAATTCTTTAAATTTATAATACTTCCGGCAACACTTCCTCTAACGAAAGTGCCTTTATAAAATGTATATAAACTAAAATACGAATTCTAAAAATAATTTTGACTCACAAACCATATTTTATCATACTTTGATTTAGCAAAAATTGCCCAGTGCTTCTTTTGTAAAAGTAGGTTTCCGAGATTTCTACTTT